TAATGGCAGTTAAGTTTCCGTCAGGTTGGCCGCGCATGGGGGCGCATCTGGCCCTGCCTTACCGGCGCGTGGCGGCGCGTGGGTGGTCCAATTATTTTAAAAATATCAGGATGTTTGTGGTGTTGAGTAGATCATGTTGGTATATTCAAACACCCCATTTGAGCAATGTATGAGAAGTTATTAGCTAGTTTCGTTTATGTGCTTTAAATTAACGTTTATATAGTTGTTTCACATGTATGTGAGACCTATCCTCAAGACGAGTGCAGTCAATCGAGGCTTGAGGGCTACGACCCTTCCACATACCAGTGAGTGGGCTTTTGGTTTTCCGTATATACCTATATAGTTGAGATTTTTCCCAAAAAATCGATTTAAATGAAATTATGTTTAGAAATGTCATGCATATTGATTTATACGTAGATCATTGAATTAATATAGTATTCATAAATGTGATCTAACGCTGTGGATGCTCAGGTAAGTACCAGATGAGTATAGATTGTTTATGTTACTTGATGATTATGTGAGATGTTTTGAGAGCTCATAAACCTGCACCCCGGTGTTAGTGCTCCCGCCCGTGGTTAGGGCACAGTCCTTCACATGAGGTTCACCTCCCGCACCATACGCTCATCTTGGATCCAAGTTAGGTGCATAGTCCAGTCATACAGACCATTATAGGTGGTTCCGACTCGTAGGTGACCCGCGATTATTCGCACAGTCTTCACATGGTCGTGGCACTTGAGCGTATTTATTTACACCCAGTCCTATCATACAGACCACTTTAGGTGGTTCCGACTCGTGTGCAGGTATATTTTTTGAGATGTGGATTTGAGTCGTACAGGTCACGTTAGGTGACTCCGGGCTAGATGGATGAGCTCTAGATTCAGCCGTACAGGTCACGTTAGGTGACTCCGGCTGATATATCATTTACATTGATTATATCATCTGGCTTACATATTTTTATGCTGATATATTCGAAATGGCATATTTGTGAATTTTGCTATTCTGAGCATGGTTGTGATATAGATATGTATTCTATTTTCTGGAAAATTATACAAGTTTTAAGACGAGGGGTTACTATCTTTGATAATTGAAATGGTTTTGAAAAGCTTTGTTTTTGCCCACTCACACTTTCTATTTTGCGCCCTTCCAGGTTCTAGTTAGGAATGCTTTATGGTGGCTTGCGAGGAATCCACGGCAGCTCTGACAGTTATCACCATTGCAGGATTACTTTTGGTGTTGTATAATTAGTATTTGTCCAACTAGACTGCACCTAGGCTACTTATGCTCTGGTTGTGAATACACACTTATTTCGTCTTGCACCTTATCTTATCTAGTGCTCTAGTTAGTTTGGTTTTTATTTATTCACATTTCTTATTTTATTATTGCTTTCGCACTGTGCACATGGCTACGTCACCCTTACGTGACGGCCAGCACGCCTTGATTTTGGTTGGGGTCTGTCAATTTGGTATTAAAGCGTAGGTTTGGCAGTCCTGCATATTTTGTGAATATTCTAATTATTTAGGTGTCTTCTGGCAGAACTATGCCGCCTCTTAGAGAGCCACATCGTTCAGCTGAGCCTAGTTTCCCCAATATAGCTCAGTTGGGGGAAGCTATAGCCCATGCGATTCAGTCTTCGCTTTGCCATCTTCAGAGGATTCCCCTGGAGACTATGTAACTTAAAGTTGGATAAGTTTGAGGGTCCTAGATTCTAGAGACAGATGGGTGCTATTAGAAGAAGTGCTCCGTTGTGTCGTAAATGTAACAATAAATATTTTGGGGAATGTAAAAGAGGCAACAATGGATGTTTTACTTGTGGTTAAATGGGACATAGAGCTTTAAATTGTCCTTAGAATCAGCAGAGGCCCCAACAGCCTTCCTTGCCACCACCAGCGCCGATCCAGCAAGTTCCAGGGTCTGGTAGTTATGGTCAGATGGGTCGTGGTTGTGCTTACCATTATCAGGGTGACATTGTTCCTTATGCTTCATGGTAGTATCAGTATTCCCAGGATCCTTATTATTAGAGTGGGTATCCTTAGTATTCTAGAGGTTATACGCCGTATCCTCCCATTCCAGCTGGTGGATCTCAGTGGTACCAGGGAGGATAGCCCCAACAAGTAAAGATTGCTTCCAGTAGTGCATGATCTTCGAGGCAACCTTGTCAGCCAAGTCAAGGCCGTGGTGTGCAGGGGCGAAATAATCAAGCTAGTAGAGGTCGTGGGGGACGACAACAAGCCCAGGGACGTGTTAACAATATCTCTCTGCAAGATACGCAGAATCATCCGAACTTGATCATGGGTACATTAAACATTCTTGGTCACTTTGCTAGAGTTTTAATTGATTGTGGTGCTACGCATTCTGTCATTTCTCATAGATTTGGTCAAGTGACACAACCTCATCCTACACCTCTAGTTTATGATTTAGAGTTTGCTATGCCTAGAGGGGAGAGATGTTATGTTAAATGTGTTTATCCAGGATGTCTAGTTACGGTGGAGGATATAGTTATGCCAGCTAACCTTATCCCGTTAGATATTGTTGATTTTGATGTGATTTTGGGCACAGATTAGTTGCATTATAATTGTGCCAATATAGATTGCTACGGGAAAATAGTTATTTTCCATCATCCTGGATTACCTGTGGTTACTTTTGTGAGTGAGCAGAGTGGGGTGAGGCATGGCTTTATTTCTGTTGTGAGAGCAAAAATGTTATTATCAAAAGGTTACCATTGATATTTAGCTTATGTGGTGTTGAATGATGTTGCTCCTAGTAGTGTGGAGGATGTAAAAGTAGTCAGGCATTTTCCTGATGTATTCCCTGATGATTTACCTGGGTTGCTGCCAGACTGAGATGTGGAATTCACTATTGATTTGCTTCTAGGTACGGATCCTATATCTTTGACTCCTTATTGAATGGCTCCTGCTGAATTGAGGGAATTAAAAATTCAATTGTAGGAATTAGTTGATAAAGGTTTTATTCGGCTTAGTACTTCACCTTGGGGAGCTCCACTGTTATTTGTGAGGAAGTAAGACGGGACTTTGAGGCTATGCATTGATTATAGGCAATTGAATCAGGTAACAATTAAAAACCACTATCCATTGCCGTGTATAGATGATTTATTTGATCAGCTTCAAGGCGCCTACGTATTTTCTAAGATTGATTTGAGGTCAGGTTACTATCAGTTGATGATTAAAAGTGAGGATGTTCCTAAGACGACTTTTCCCTTTACGCGACACTTTCCCCTTCCCCGCCCAATATGTCTCCAGTAACATCTTTTCCCTTTACGCGACACTTTCGCGACACTTTCCCCTTCCCCGCCCAATATGTTTCCAGCGACGGCTTTTCCCTTTACGCGACACTTTCCCCTTCATCGCCCAAGGAGTTATTCCTAGTAGTGTTAAATGTAGGTGGTAATCCAATTCTTGATTGCTTGAGCAATCAAAATGACACTTTGTTCCCTTTATACCCTCACTTACTTTTTTTAGGAAAAATTAGTATCCGGTCCCTAGTTACTAATGTTCATTGACTGAGACCTTACTAGTTTTCAGATTTTGATCAAAGTCCCTAGTATTAATGTGTTAATGAATTTATATGTAAGTTACATAATCTTCAAAATAAAAATTAGTAGTTGATTTCGAATTTTAATACCATCCTTATTGAACTCCTAATTAATTTTCAATTCAAAATATTTCCATAATAAAAAAATAAATATGAAAAAGTTTGTACCCATTAATTTTTTTATAAAAAGATTTTTAATTTTAAATCTTAAGTGTACCTATTCATATAATTTTTTTGTAATTTTTAAAATCTTAAATGTACCCATTTGTAAATATATCAATTTGTTATATGTAAAATATATCATTTTTAATATAAAATGTACCCCCTTTTTTTGTATATAAAATTCATTCAATTTTGTTAATCTACTTTTTTAACTTACATGGGTACATTCTATTTCGTTGATTTGAGAATGTATCCATGTCAAGTTTAATTGAATAAATTTAATAATGTTATCAAGCTTAATATCTATTTTTTTTTAAATGTACCCATGTTTTGGTACAATATTTTTTTTTGGTTAAATTTGATGAATGTACCCATGTTTATACATACATACAATATACTGGACAGTATAATTTATCATTTAATATTTTTAATTCCACAAATTATGGGTTTTATTTAAAATCTCGTTAATATAAACAACTACAAATATTGTTTTTTAATTTAAAAAATCTACCTAGAAATACATTATTGTATTAATGTTAGGGACTTTGATAAAAAACTGAAAACCAACAATATTTCGACCATAGAACATGAACAGCTAGGGACCGTGTCACAACCCGTCCCGGAATTTTAATTCCGAGGACGTGAAGTTATGAAAATGCCCTTAAACGGGACTAAGGGGCATAAAATATGTTGTAACTTGATGATTTGGGGATTGGGTAGGATCCCACATCCCTCAAAACTCTCCCTCATTCCCGTATCCTGTCTCTCTCTCTCCTCCTCCCTCACAAATCTCTCATTCTCTGTCAGTTCTCTCTCTCTCTCTCTCCTTCGAACTCACACAGACCACCCACAAACCACCCCAAAACTATACCAACGAAGGATCTAAGACCACCATCGTACTCCTGAAGACCACACGAACACGATGGTACCAATTTCAGGTGAGTTTCACTTCAGAAAACATGGATTTCAATTTCACTATGCGTGTGCACTGTTCATGCACACGTAAAACTTGATGTTTTTGGGATTTTGAAGCTTGTAGGAAGCTTGGTGAGGTCCTAAGGAAGCTCGGAGTGCTTCGTTTGAAGGATTTGGACGTCGGGATAGCTTGGTTCAAAGTTGGCCGGAGCTTTCGAGGCTTTTTCCGGCGAATCCACGGCGAGTTAGGGGTCGAGGCAGGTATGGATGTGTTCGTCTCATCAATACCTTCATTTTGATATAAAGAACGTCGAAAATGGTTAAGAAATGAAGAAGTTATGACACTTTGAAGTTTACCCAGAAATTCCGGCAAAACACCCACCTCCGGCGAAACCAGTCCGGCGACGCGAGAAAGAAGACGCGCGCGTGGGCAGCGCGTAGACTGGGCGCGTGGTGGCGCGTGGGACCTCCAAATTGAGTTCTGAAAATTGTCACGCGTTCGTGACGTCGTGTAGATCACCGTGGTATATTCACACACCCAAATCGAGCAACGTATGAGAAAGTTATGGACGAATGTGAATGGACGTAAATTTGGTTACTTTTTGTATAGGTGAAAATTATACAGAAGAAGAATGTAACCAATCTAGAGGAGGCTCAGGGACCTACGTGACGTCGATGTGATCTGTGAGTGGGCAGTTATTTTTCAGTATATAAATATATACGTATGCTTGACGTATTTCTCAGAAAACGTATTTTAAAAGAAATACGAATTAAATATCCTGTCATATATGCATCATATTTTAATATGTGCGTTACCATAATTATGCATATTGTTGCATGGTGCTGAGGAGGCCCAGGTAAGCTACATTTGAAATACCTTTGAAATACATTTGAGATACGTACGAAATACATTTGATATACGTACAAAATACATTTGATATACGTATGAAATACGTTTGGAATACGAATGAAATACTATCATCACATGCATTAGTAGTGGCATACATTTATATATGCGTATTTGGTGATGTGGACGCACAGGTAAGTGCCAGGTAAGTGGTATTCATGTTTGTATTCAGTAGTAGCTTGAGATGCTTAGAGAGCTCATAATCTGCACCCCCGGTGTTAGTGCTCCCGTCCGTGGCCAGGGCATAGCCTTCACGTGATGTTTACCTCCCGCACCACACGCTCAGCTTGGATCCAAGTTAGGTGCACAGCCTGTCGTACAGACCACATTAGGTGGTTCCGACTCGTAGGTGACCCGCGATTGATCGCACAGCTTCACGTGATCGTAGCACTAGAGCGTATATATATTACACCAAGCCTGTCGTACAGACCACGTTAGGTGGTTCCGACTCGTGTGCAGATTCAGTTATTGAGTTGAGATTGGAGCTCTATATGCAGCCGTACAGGTCACGTTAGGTGACTCCCGGTTGCCAGATTATATGTTATTGATATGAGTTATGCTTGAGCACTTACATTTCATTATGAGTTTCCGACATGGCATATTCTTGAGCATGAATGATATACCCTTGAGCATGTTTGGCATATCTATACATACGTATATATGTTTATTTTCTGGGAAGTATACTTGTTTTACGGCGAGGGGTTAGTATATTCAAAGAGAAAAGAAGGTTTTGAATAAGTTTGTTTTACTGACCCACTCAATTTTGGTTTTGCGCCCCTCCAGGTTTAAGATATCAGAGCTTGGTGGCTACGAGGAATCCAACGGTGTTCTGACAGAATGGACAAAAATTAGGACTCACTTTTGGGTGTTTCATCTTAGAAATTGTATCTTTAAAGCTTCCGTACTGTGTAAATGGTTACGTCACTCTCACGTGACGGCCAGCATGCCCTCCTTCGGGACGGGGTGTGTCAGACCGTATTTAAAGTCTCCCTTTTTTTTTATTTCCAAGGCTATCCTTTATAAATCCATTAACCTAGTTTAATTATGCACAACTCCTTCCTTTTTTTATTTTCATGCTCATTCACATTATGCATAACTCCATGCATATGCCGAAGAGAAGAAACTACAACTTGAGTAAGAAAATTTAAATATTAGAGTAAATACTTAAATTTATAATAAAAAAAATAAACAAAAGCATTTTAGTATGTCTATGAAATAAAAAAGCAATTTAATTTTTTTCTTACTATTATATATTATATCAAATTTTATTAAAAAAAGTATATAAAATATTTGATTTGGGACAAGGGCATTTTAGTAATCATACTGGTTTATATTCCGATTTTGCTGAATTAGTAAACAACTTTATGAAATTAGTGTCATTTCTATTCCGATTCCAAAACATTTAAGTAAATAGCTTCAACAGGAATCCAATTCTGACTTCTCTTCATTCCAACTCCTCTTCAATTCAACTCATTCTATTTTCATTACAATTATGTAAACACGCCACAAGAGCGAGCTCAGTAGTAAAAATATCGTTCAGAAGGCAGGAAAGCTCTTCTTCTGCTATGTGCCCATAAAATGTTCAGTTATTATAATATAAGCGTAATTGTTATATTCCAACCAATTACTTGCCATACTTCCCTAGTTTCTACTGTATGGTTGCTTGGCAAGATACATTTATATCCGATTTGATAACTTATGTTGTTAGACTTGGAGAATCTTTAACAGACGTGCACCAAAACAACATGACAAGTAAATATTTCTCGTACTACGGAATTACCAACAAGGTAAATATTACTTATCTTTATGACTATATGTCATGAAAATATAGTACATCATGTTCAATTTGATTGGTAACAAAAAACTTTATGAACCAACAAATATCATTTATGAGATTTGAACTCAGAATCTTATGTAGTTAAAGCGAAACTATATCGATGCTGCTTGACCTAACGGTATTGTATATCTGGTGACTAAGACTTTGAGAGTAGTTGAACCTTGAAATGCTAAAGGTAACTTGGAGAGGAGGAGGTATGAGCACGGGAAGCGCAAGTTGCAATGGAATAAGGTTCAGGTATGTAACAAACTAACATGTGTGCAGGCAGGGGGACCCCACTTGTCACGTGTACAGTAGGTCATTGGCCACGTAGAAGAGACAAGCAAAGGGCTGCGTGTGGAATCTGCTCTAATCCCCTCTCCACCAATCATCGTCGTCCTCCCACGTGGGCATTGGAGCCCCCACACCCAATTCCCATATGACATCACCGAAGAACTCACTTGCGCTTTTTATTTGTTTATTTATACGATCCACCGCCCTTATGATTTTTCTTTAACTTTAACCTATTAGTGTTCACTTTTTTTATGATCATCCAGCAGCTGTCTCTAGCCTCTCGAAATCTCCCACTCTCCCCTTTCTTCTTTTCAATTTTCCTTTCAAATTTTTCGTTGTTCTGCAAGTCTTCTGCAGCTGGGGTAGTAAGAACCTTAGCTATTTATATATAAACATGGGAGACTCTTCTGCTTCATACATTCACTTGGTAAGCCTTGTTGTAACTTTTATGAAATTTTTTCTGCTTTTTCTTGATCACCAATATGACATATACCCTTGATTCGGTATATAGAATTGGTAATGGTATTATCGCTATTATTATCACTCTAAAAAGTCATAAGCAATTCTCAAAATTTAGTTTTTTCCCAAATACACGAAGAGTACATAATGATTTTTTTGCAGTGTTATTTTATTTTTCAATATTTTGTGGTGAAGAAAATTAATGGTGGCATGGTGACATGCATGATTATATAATTAGGTGCAACATTTAATTGAGGAGTGCATCATATTCAATATGAGCAAAGAGGAGTGCATGGAAGCCCTCTCTAAGCATGCAAACATAAAACCCATCATTACCTCCACAGGTCTCTCTCTCTCTCTCTCTATATATATACATATTATGTTACAATTGTCTTTGCATGGGATTGAATGGTTAGCTAATTAATGGATTAACTGATCAATTAACTGCAGTGTGGAAGGAGTTAGAGAAGGAGAACAAGGAGTTCTTTGAGGCCTACAACAAGAGCAGGGAAGCTAGATCCTCTGAGATGGTCACAGAGCAAAGAATCCAGAAGATGCTTTTTGATCTTTCTCAGAGCGGCAACAACTCCACCACTGCCGATGACGGCGGCGATGAATCTGATCAGTAGTAGATCCTTTGGTTACTTATGCAGAAAACGATCGATAAGAGATGGCCTTTTTGGCTTCAAGTGCTATTAACTAATCTGTAACATCGGGGAAAAAGTTGCTTAAAACGACAGGCAAAATAACAAGTTGTCCAGCACAGCACAAGGGCAAATACGGACGGCGCATACGACGTATCGTGTAGCAGTCATCAATAGTAGTTGGGAATTGTAATTTGAAAACCCTTGAGAGTGCGTGGGTGGCTGGGGTTAGCTGACGTGCACACGTGGCAGAGCGTGATGAATCCCATTTGTGAGAAATTTCCAGACCGTCGGAAACGCGATCTGGTATATTAATTATTGATGTGTTAATATTAAATTCTAAAGCAATGAGTTCTGCAAATTCTTTTTTCCTCCTTTCTAAGCTTAATTCTCATTCAAATTATTTCATCTAAAATACAAAATATTGTACAGAAAGAACTTCTCTATTTTATTTTTTTTTTATCTCGTTTTGATTTCACGAGATATTCTACACTGAAGAGACAGAAAAAAAGTTTAAACTCACAATACAATGAATTCACGAGCAATGCCCCTAACTACCTGATCAATCACAACTCTCCATATTTATTGTTCAGGCAGCTTTGGTTATTGGGCTATTTCGTTTTCTTTCTTGTGTGAATATGTATTAATAGCATGGACATTTTGTTTGTTTTCTCCAATAATTTTGGGTGTGGGTCATTTGAATTCGTCGTTACCCTACTTTTTCGTTTGAGTTTGGCGGAGAAGGACCGAGTGATATCAACGTTCTAATTCTACTAGAATCTTTCCATAGCTGCACGGCATGAATTTATGTTTGATTTTTGTCTACAGTATTATAATTAATTAGTATTGGGTGGGATCCGGTTAAATGTATAAAAAGTATCGATCCAGATGATTTGAAAACGAATAATATTAAGGAGATCAAATTTTGTAAATCAAATAATGTGGTTGTTGATGATTAAATTATTACTTAAGTGTTGATTAACGAGCTTTTTTCATATTTGTGACAAATAATTTGATTTGCAAATTTAATTTAAAAGTTTCATCTACCTGACATTACCTTTGAAGATAGTCTTTCTTTCTTCTAATGAAATCTTGGGGCGGGTTCAATTTGGTAAACGAGCTGATATCCCCCACCGATAATTGACTAAAGTGTATTGATATGGCTTAAAACAAAACGGATACTGAATTGAATTGGTTGGTTTACCTATATTTGGTTCAACCAAAAAAGTTAGTCAATTTCGGGTCGCTCTGGTATGGTGGCAGTCCTTATGGTTGCTTTTGTGGTGGTGGGTGTCTTGAAGGTGTCTGGGTTGTGGTGGTGGCTTGGAGGTTGTGATGACTGAAAACACATCCGCTCTAGCAAATTAGGCTATTGCTTTTTTTGGTTTTACAGTGGGACTCGAACTTTACTTTCGTTGCCAAAAAAATAAATAAATAAATAAATAAAAATAAAGTTTACTTTCACATCCACTTTGGGCTTGTTTAGAAATACTTTAAAATGGCAGAAAGCTCATTTAGTGAATTTGTTTTTAGAACCAATCGTTAGTAAAATGCAAATCCTGGAAATACACTTGAAGTGCTTTCTATAAACAGTACATAACTGGTGCTTCTTGCATGAAGCATTTTAAGTGCTTTTGGTACCTAAAAACATTTTCTCTAATTGTGCTTTCAGTCATTTTAGAAGCATTTCCATACGAGCCCTTTTGATGCATTAGGAAAACTTAATAATAAGCCCACATTCGCCACTTAGTACTACGGTCTAGTGATTTCCTCTTCATTTGTAAGTAAGACGTCTTAAGTTCGATTCACGCCAAAGGTAAATTTGAAGTACATTATTGCTAACTGACTGTGAGGCTAAGTCAACTCTCCCAATTCCGTATATAAATAATATCGTTTGTTCAAAATAATAAGCCCACATCAAAATAGTGAAAACTCATGCTAGTTTCTAATGAACCCACTTCAAAACCCAAAAGCAAAAGAAAAGCAAAAGCTTAACCCAATCCCAAGTTGTCAAATTCCAGCCCAATAAAACGCCCATCTGAAAGCTCAAGCCCTCGACCCCTACGGCACCGTTTCTCACCTCCCTGCCGACTAATTTTGTTCTGTTGGACCAACTTGCCGAAACGGCATATTCTCGCAGCTTTTTGAACTTTCCCCTGTTTCCTATATCTCTTCCTCCTCCTCCTCCATCTTCTTCGACTTCTCCCACCTCCATTGCAAGGTTTTACAAAACCCTAATTCTCTCTCAATCCATGGAATCTCTCGCCAAACTTCACCTCCGCCACCAACCCCTCACCCTCTCGCTCAATCCACACTGTTCCTCGTTCCCAAAACCCCTTTCTTCCTTTAGACCTCCGCGCCAATCGCCAACCTTCAACTTCACCACCCTCACTATCAGAGCCTCATCCTCATCGCTTCCGCCGTCCTCCGCCCACCCACCTCACCAAAACCCCCCAAACCCTAAACCCATTTCCTCTTTCAAAACCCTAGCCCCTCTCGCCGCCCCTATCATCAAGACGACCTGCGCCGCCATCGCTGCCGCCGCATTCTTCTTCATGAGGTTCAATCACCGAACCGCTATGGCCGCCACCGCAGTCGCACCTTCCATGGTGGAGCCAGTGGAACAAGAATCTCCCGCTGACAGCGTTTCGTATGAAGAGAAAGAGAGGGTACTTGAAGAGCAATTGTCACAGAACCCGGACGATGTCGAAGCTCTGAGGAATTTAATGGAGGTCAGGATCAAATCCAACAAGCTGGCCGAAGCGATTCAGGTGCTCGAGCGCTTGATCGAGCTGGAACCCGAAGACTTTGAGTGGCAATTGCTGAAGGCCAATGTTCATAGCTACATGGGCGAGGTAGATCTCGCTAACGCCGAGTTCGAGGACATTTTGTCGAAAGACCCTTTCAAAGTTGAGGCCTTTCATGGCCTTGTAATGTCCGCTTCGCAATCACCGGAGAAATTGAATAGTGTGATGAAGAGGGTGGAGGAGGCAATGGTGAAGTGTAAGAAGGATGGGAATATGTCGGATGTGAGGGATTTTAAGCTGTTAGTTGCGCAAATTCGTGTGATGGAGTCGGAGTATTCGGATGCTTTGAAGCTTTATCAAGAGCTTGTGAGGGAAGAACCGAGAGACTTCAGGCCTTATCTGTGTCAAGGAATAATTTATACAATGTTGAGGAAGACTAATGAGGCTGAGAAACGGTTTGAAAAGTTCAGGAAGCTTGTTCCAAAGAACCACCCTTATAAAGAGTATTTCGATGACAATATGTTTGCGACAAAGCTTTTTGGGCAGAAGATGGAGAGGGAAACAGCAGCGTCGAACGTCTGAGGGAACTGGAGTTGCTGAGTTTTAGCTCATTGTGGTGGCTGGCTTGTGTAATGTGGTGGTTGCCTCTTGGTTTCTCTCTGCCTCTGTTTTTGGTTAATGCTTTGGCTAGTAGTGTTCACTCAAACTATAGGTAATTTTTGTAGTATTCGCCATAGCAAAAGTAGTTTCAGAATGTAGAGCTATCTGCGCATTGATCAGCGAAATTTAAATCTTGTTGAACCATTTTTGTCTCAACATTTGAAGTTATACCTGGAATGAAACTGTTTTTGATGTGCTGATGCTGAAATAAATAACATCCTGTATTGGTTTAACGTGTTCATAGCTCAAGGGCATGCTGTGCTATGTCCCATAAGGCTAATTGTTTGGTGCATATAGTTAATTGTAGGAATGTTTCTCTGCCAATGGGACTGCTGCAGGAATGGTTGTAGTAATCTTTACTGATGGAAAACACTTTGACAACTGTATCCTGCAATTTAAATTAATCATACACAACAAATTCTGGATTTACTTTTTCGACTCTAGTTCTGCTGCATAGGATAAATTATATAGTATGCCCCAGATCCCAAGTTCTGGTTTTCACTTCTTCAAGTCTATTTCAGTTCATTGGTTTCCTTGGCATGTAATACTAATATATCCTTTGTGTAACTTTCACATCGTCTGCCCTGGTTCCCAAGTATCGGGTAGCGATGTCAGTTACAGTCAATATTATGCAGTCGGTTTCTTTTCAGAAAAAAGCCTTAGTGCTGTTTTATTTTTCAGTATCATGTGCGGCCATTCATGCTGTGCTTCATTCAAAGTTGTTCCACATCTCGTTAGGGGTTGAACTTGATGCGAATGTTCTTAACATGAAAGGGTATGTGAGTCACATAGAAATTCAATTTTCAATATAACTTGTAGTAGTTAATGAATTTGTTTTGGTTTATGTAATGCGGTGGAGATGTTGAGTCGTTCACAATTATGATGATTTATATTTGTGCTTGTATAATTTGTTGCATATTCTAACATGGATTACAAACTGGATTTCTTCCAGAGCAAATGGAGATTTACATCACAACGTTTTTGTGGTCTCTACTGCAATATTGTTCTTTCTGATGTCATGGCAAGTCTATGCGTCCTTTATACTTTCTTACTTAATGGAGCTTCCATTCCCTTGCTTGAGACAATCTTTACTCTTCCTTAACAACTGTCGGGCGTGATAGTTAATGGTTAATTAGCTGAGGATTGGCGTAAGAGACAATCTCTTTCGTTATTGTGCTCTTTTTTTTTTTTTTTTTTTTTTTTTTTTTTGTTTTGCAGTGAGCAGATAGGCAGCAAGAATGCATATGATTATTTCTGATTTGAACTGTTTTTAAATAACTACCAAGTGAATCAAAGTAGATGTTGGACTGACCTGACTGTTTTTTAACTTCTGGTTAACGGTGCGCGATGTCGACCCAGCTGGTGCAGAAATGAAGACGGTTTTGCAGACAGAAAAGTTTGTATAGATTCTTGCTGCATTCTTGTAATTTCCAACCAACATAATGCCTCTCTCTTTCCCCCCCCCTCCTCTCATTCTTGCTTTTACTGCGGTTATTTGATCAAAGACGGATCGAGCAGCAGCAGGTTCTCTCCCTGTTGCTGATATCAATGGAGGACAACTTATTAGTAAACCTCAACCTGCAGCTGCAATCAACTTGGAAATGATGAAAACATGTCACAAGTGCTCGCACGGGCACCTAGGTTGTGCGCATGGCCTACACTATAATGACGATACAGTATCTTATATGGTGGGCATACGTTGTCAATGCGCTAACTGCTTGAGTCATGCGTAAATCCCAAGTGCGTGGTTGAGTAAACTTCCAGAAGATTCATGAAAGGGAATTGACTAAATCTGTAGTGGCCCATTATTTCTTTTAGTTTTGGCCCCAGAGGCCATTAGCAAGAGTGCACTGTATCATAAATGTAATAACAAAGCTTTATTTTCTATCATTATTTAAATACTATTTTTGCAAAAAAATTAATAAAATTGGCGATGGTTTAGTCATCTTTAATGTACATATGACTGATGATAACTACATTCTTACTATGAACTACTCGGTTGATAGATGTGGATGATTAAACGAAACCAATTGCCAATTTGATTGTTTTCATTGTAGAGATGAAAATGGATGGTTATTAGGATATTTGTACAATTAAAATACGTCAATCACAAATAGACAGACAAATGGACACAAATAGACATGCAAATGGACAAAGAGATACAAAAAGAGATACAAACATGTGGTAGGTTGAAAATCTAATCTCCATCAATGAAATTTAAGGGGATAATGCACATTAATAATCCAAATTAAGAAACAGGTACTTATCTTTGAGGAGCTAAATCTCTCATGGCAATCCTAAAATGTTCACGGATTTGTAAAGAATTGAGCTTCAATGTTGTCGGATACTAGGACACGGAGGTTGCTCTTTCGGTGTCCTCCTATTCCTTGCTACCTCGTTTCTCAAAACCTACGGCTACTAATGTCCTAAACGCATCATTGCAACTTTCCTCCATTTCCATGTTCACTCATGTTCATCTAGTGGAGTGCAGTAGTGTTTTGACGCCTAAAGGGCCCCGCAGAATCTCACTATTTTTAGTCCTCACAGTTAAGCGATCATACCAACTCATATGCACCGAATTCTATCACAATTCTGAAGTTAAAAGCTAGTTGGGGTCGCCCTTTTTATAGTTCTGACCGCGCAGTCATTCATAAGATATCTTCTTTCTACTGCATTCGTGCAAATCACACATTATATATACTAAAACCCAGTTGGGTTCCGGCACTGTTCAGCAATAGTAAAAAGACGGAAATGCCCCTAATTTTTTGTTTGCTTAGCCGTTTTGCTGCAGCTTTGCACAGTTAAATATCTGTTATGCCCCTGATTGCCACGCGTTGATCATCCTTTGTCTGTGTGGTTTGATTCCGTCACAGCGAATGCACGACGTTTCCCTTCTAGCCCACGCGTCCATCATCGATGGCCCTTTCAGTTCGACTTCATCCCAATTTCGCTTCTCTCGCCATTCTCACCTTTTGGGTATTTTGGAACCTAGGTTTTTTTCTCTCCCGCATTGCCGTTTTACTTGCTGTTTAGCGTTGCCATCTTTCTCCAGATCGGCAGGCCGATAGAACCCGGCAAGGTCAGCATGTAGTTCTATGGAAGTACCGCCTGTGATCTCAGCCATCTCAGCCATGCTCGCGCCGCCGTCAATTTCGTTGTTTTGTTCAGGTTCGCACATTCAATCTCATTATTTGCATGTTTAATTTAATATTCATGCAATTAATTGTGCTTTCAATTAGTGTGGAAGTTGATATGTTTGATTTTGTGCATGTACTTTATTTTTTCTATTTTCTGTTAGAAATTAATTTACTTTTCCTTGGAAATCGTTGAGCTCCTAGAAGTTTTTGCCTTTTTTCTTAATTTGATCGAAATCCATTTCTTACCCACATAACCTAGAGTCTCCTGATGAGTTTTTTGTCGTTCTCAGTGTGTCTGATTTAATATTTTATTTTTTTTTTGGTTTTCGATTTACAGATGGATTTTGTGTTTAAATTTTCTTTTTATAATTTTGGGGGTTTTGTTTATGTGCTCGGATGCTGTGTGTGGCTGTCTGATTTCGTTCTTTTTTTGCTTTCAGCAAACGCTGGTGTTCTTATTTTGGGGTTTTGCTAAGGGTATATAATTTGTTGAAATATTTAGTTTTTAATACATTAACAATTTTGCTGGGTCGATTTTTGTTACCGACTGTTTTTTTTTTTTTTTTTTTTTTTTTTAACTTTCGATCTCCTTCTATTTGAGTGGTATGCTGGTATACAATTTATTGTCCTAAATTCACAATCTTACACTTCACAAATTTCACTGCTCAACCTATACTCAGGTAATCAGTTCAAAGTTGGACTATTTTAACCCTTTCAGTTTTTAGACTCTATAATGTTAAATCCAGTGTTTTATTTTGATTCTACATTCATTTTGATTTTACTTTTGACTTTCAGTCTACGTTCATTTTGATTGAGTTGTTTTAAGGATTTTGTGGGAGGACTCCCTTTGGAATTACCGAATGTTGTTATTTGTCGGGTGGATGCCTTGGACGTAGAGTTAATTCCTACTAAAAAGGTATAGAAGCTTAGCTAGACCTTGATTATCATGTAAGGAAATAAATAACTATGAAAGTAGCTTCACTATGGTCTGTAGTCATCTGCCACACCTTTGCATGACTCTTATATACCTTTGAAATTGAATTTGGGTTTTGATTATTTCAATTAGTTTCTCTGGTTTATATTTCAAGGTCAGCCGGTTTTGTATTTAGCATCAATCAATTGCTTTTTTCTTGGTGAGTACCTAAACGTTTACACTTTCAGTTTAACAGAAAATGATAAATTGTAGCAAACCCATAAACTTATTTCGTGACTATCACAATATTCTTTTAATATTCTATGTTTTGCTTACAATTCTGTTCTCTCTAGGATGTTTAAGTGCATTTTTGGTTTTTAAGTTTCACCGCCAAATACCGACTGTGTGATTGTGTTTTCTAACCCCTATGTTCTCAATAATGTTAATGTTTTTTGATACCGTTTTTACATCTTTCAAACACAATGTTTAATACAATTTTCAAATCCGCAGTCATTTCGAACTCGGATTCAGCCAGCCTGTGGTAAGCCTTTATTTTTCAATTGCTTTCATTTGTTTATATGTGAATCAATAACTTTTTGGCAAATAATGAATGTCGCAATTGCTGATAAATTGATTCTTTGTTTAAAAACTTGAACTGTAGATCTGTGCAAAATATCCATATATGGATCAGTGCCATGGACTCTTCTCAACCTATGGACCTCAAATCTCAGTGCGTCTTCCATCATTTCTCCAACCTCACTATATATGGAACTATTACATTTGCAATCATATTAATTCCTTGAACACAATATTTATATTTCTCTGTAACCTGCTAATTTTGGAATATATTATCGTTTCCTTACTGGTACATGAAAATGAAAATATAAAAATACAACCGGTTTAAGAAGCTAATCTCTTTTAATGTTCTTGGTTGCCTACAATAATTTTTAGTTATGTGAACTAGAAACCATGTGTGATTTAACTTGCAAAGTTTCTCTTATCACCCCTCTGGATAGTTTTGTGAACGAAAATAAGCATGTCTCTGTTTGTCTTTGAGTTTTCTCTAATTAAAAGTCGGAACAATGTCAAAACAAGTAGAAAATCCGTTTCTCTACAAAAGAGGCAGTTGTCACTGGTAATCTAGGGAAAATAATTCAATCAAAGATGAAAATAAAATTATTAAAGTAAATAATAAACCTTATATAATTTGTTTCTAATCTTTGAATAATTATTGTTGTGTCATCCTGAGAGCACGATTGGTGCAGCTCAAATGGATCTGTACCAGAGCATCTTGCGCAGTAGTATGGTGGCTCTGCAGCTCACAACACTCTGTTCTTATGTTATTTTTGGGTTAGAGCATGCATATATTATCAGTTGCTAGATGTCATGATCAATCCCTATATTATATGTGAAATAAAAAAAGAAGGAACACTTTATAACTCTAATCAGATGTCCACTGAAAAGAAAACAAATCACATTATAGACCAATACGTGTTAAAATTGTGTTGAAATAGAAAGATGAATAGAATGTTTCTGATAGAGATTACCCATGATAACAAAATGGTCAGACACTATTTAATGGTTGTCAAGGTTGGATCTTTGTCTTAGTGAATAACAGTACATCTTATATCAGGGAAAAACACTAAGATCTGATACACTATCAATTTCGTATGACAGGAGAAATAAAAGCTTTAGAACGCACTCCCTTTTTTTTTTTTCATGTTTCAGTTTGGTTTTCAAATCAGTTGTCGATGCTATATGCTTTTTACTAACATATGTTTTTTGTTTTTAATAGTATACGAACATAAAAAAAAGCCTCCAAACCTCCAAAGACAGTAGCAAGATCTTTGTTGATGGTAAGCTATTATTCTCTGAGATCTGTTTCTTTTTGTTTATTTCACATGTGTGGCTATTTATTGAAATTTGATTTGTCAAGAACTGGAGATGGTCTCGATTTTAAGGTTAAAATTGAATCATCCATGATTTTAAAATAATGGTATTTTTATTAAACCTATAACAATGGACGTGTAGGTTATACATGCGGATTGTCACATTATTGTAGTTCTCAATTGATTTATGGTAGGTAGTCTTAACTCTTCGTCTATGTACCAATTTTTTTTATTTTAGTGCTCAGGTAGAAATTACAGAGGAGCTTATTTGTTGGAGATTTGAAGAGTAAAACTTAGCAGCGTGGTACCGCCGAAAGTGGTAATTGCTAATCAGGTTTCCACTCTTTTTTCCACACACTTTGGTTCAAAAGCAATATCATTTGAATGATGAAACATTAAGTTAGCATCTTAAGTGAACTGTATTTGCCACTTCTCTTTTAAATGAATTTAAGATCAGCTCCAATCCATGTTTGTTTAACAATATTGTATCATTCATTATATAGTTTCACAAAGATCGTGCATAATTCTTGCTGAACTTGGTTTGGTTTTCTTTTGTTTAGGGATAGAGTGAGCGAATCATAGTTTGACCAAGTCTTGAATGATGAATTGAGCCAGATCATTGAGGTCTCTTTGTCAAGTTAAATTTTCATTCGACTTTTTATTTGTAATGCTCAGTTCTTCACTCAAACATTGCTTATGAAGTGAACGAATTTGCATAAGTTTGAATACATTTCCAATCCCGCAGCAATGCGCGGGCACCATTGCTAGTGTTTTCGAATTTCGACTTTCTGTGTTTGGAACAATGGAGAGTTCACATTGTCATGGTAGGCCCATTTTGAGTAAATTCCTTCATATGTTCGTTCTGATTTCGTGCATGAGTGCAGGTCTGGCGATCATTGATTTTGGAAATGAAACTGACCGCCTGGCCCTGCTCGACTTGAAGAAAAGGATAACAAAAGATACTCTCCGAATCATAAGCTCGTGGAATGATTCCGTCGATTTTTGCAGTTGGATTGGCCTCACGTGCCAATATTCTATCAAAAGAGTCATGATTTTGGATCTGGAAGCTCAAGAATTGGTAGGTTCCTTACCACATTCTATAGGCAATCTTACTTATCTTGCCGGAATCAACTTGAGACACAACCACTTTCACATTTCTAGCTTGTTGGTTTGTTGGCTAAGTTTGCATTGAATCCTAAAAAGTCAATGGAACATATGCTTAGGAATAATTTTTTCATTAGTGTCCTATAATGCATATATGACCATCAATTCTACCGCTTAAATGTCCTAAGAACACAATTTTTTAAGATCGAATAGCTGTCTTTGCACGTCAACACAATTATATAGTTAAACTTAGTAGTGTTCGAAGACAAAGTCACTAACCTTTTTTTTTTAAACAGTTTTTTGAAGAGAAATCTTGACAGTACGAAGGTGAAATTAAACTTCCTTGCTAGGCACGGGAGCAGCTGGCTATTTTTGGCCCCACAGCTATAGTTTCCATTATTGTATTCCCACGTAATCAACTTTTTTCTATGTTAATGGATCTGTTCTTGCTATATATAAATTCGTGTAAATTAAACCTTGGTTTCTTATTTTCTCTGCATTTAGAAAAAAAAAAAAAAAAAAAAAAAACGAATGGAGCATTCATCACCTAGCACTCATGGCAGACTGATTTTGTTTAATTTCCTTCATGCGTTCATTCTTTTATGGATGAGCACATGTCTGGAATCTGCAACACTAGGCACCACAACTCTTGGAAATGAGACGGATCGCCTGGCGCTTCTCGACTTCAAGAAAAGAATCACTGAAGATCCTCTCCATGTCATGAGCTCGTGGAATGATTCCATCGATTTCTGCAGTTGGGTTGGCGTTACATGCAACCGCGCCACCAAAAGGGTTGTGATTCTGAATCTCATGTCTCAAAAATTGGTAGGCTCCTTACCGCCCTCTATAGGCAATCTTACTCATCTTACTGGAATCAACCTGATGGAGAACAACTTTAGTGGTGAAATTCCTGGAGAAATGGGTCGTCTACGAAGCTTGCAACATCTCAACCTGTCTTACAATTCATTTGGCGGGAAAATTCCAGCAAACATATCTTATTGTACTCAACTTAGAACGCTCCGTCTAGCTGTCAATCAGCTTATTGGTTCGATCCCGGACCAGCTCAGTTCTCTGTTGAATTTGAATTTTCTACTGCTTGATGGTAACAATCTCAGTGGAACAATCCCAGGTTGGATAGGAAACTTTTCATCTTTGAGAAGTCTCTTTCTTTCCCGAAATAATTTTCAAGGGAACATACCCATTGAACTGGGGCATCTAACAGTCTTGCAGAATTTCTCGCTTGGGGAGAATAATTTGTCTGGTATGGTCCCTTCTTCTATCTATAACATTTCTTCCCTGTACATTTTCAGTGTTGTTGGCAACCATATGCATGGAGAGTTACCACCAAATGTCGGCGTTACTCTTCCTAATCTCCAAGCATTTTACTGTGGTGCCAACAACTTCACAGGACCTATTCCTGCATCATTCTCAAATGCTTCTGGACTTCAGATCCTCGATTTTGCGATTAATCGTTTCTCTGGACCATTCCCTGCTGAAAATCTTGGAAGCTTGAGGAGCTTGGTTAAAATAAACTTTGGTCGCAATCGACTGGGAAGTGGGGAGAATGGCGACTTGAATTCTATCAGCTTCTTGACTAATTGTACTAAGTTGAAGCTGCTGGGGCTTGACAATAATCAGTTTGGAGGAGAACTGCCGGGATCTATAGCCAATCTTTCCACTCAACTGACTCTTCTTACTTTCGGAAGCAATTTGATATATGGAAGCATCCCCAACGGTCTTGAACATCTTCTGAACTTGACCGGTCTGGGAGTAGAAGATAACTACTTGGGTGGTAGTGTCCCTGATGGCATTGGGAAGCTCCAGAAGTTACAGATACTAGCTTTGGATTACAACCAATTTTCGGGGCCAATCCCGCCCATGCTTGGCAACTTGACTTCAGCTATAACAATCTACATCAACGAGAACAGGTTCAACGGCAAAATACCTCCAAGTCTTGGGAATTGTCAAAATCTCATATTACTTGACCTTTCTAGTAACAATTTAACGGGCACCATACCTAAAGAGATTCTTGGGCTTTCGTCCCTTTCAATCTATTTGGACATGTCTAACAACTTTTTGACAGGTTCACTACCATCTGAAGTGGGTCATTTGGTAAATCTCGCGGAACTAAGTGCATCAGGAAACAAGTTTTCAGGTGAAATCCCAATAACCCTTGGTAGTTGTGCTACTTTGCTGGTACTGAATTTGGGTAGTAATGAATTTCAAGGAACAATTCCTCAATCTCTTGAGAATTTAAGAGGCTTGGAAGAAATTGATCTTTCAGGAAATAACTTGTCAGGGCATATTCCTCAATTTCTAGGCAAGTTGACATTTCTCAAGCATCTCAATCTTTCTCACAACGATTTTGAGGGCGAATTGCCCAAAGAAGGGGTTTTTCTAAATACAAGTGGTCTCTCAATTCTCGGAAATGATAAACTTTGTGGTGGCATCTCGCAATTGCATCTACCTGCATGCCTAAAAAAAAAGGCTCAATCATCTAGAGGAATACTTGCCCCCAAAGTAATCATTCCTGTAGCTTGTGCACTTGCATTCATATGTGCTCTGTCCTGCTTCATTGTTGGTCGTTCAATGCTGAAAAAATCAAAAGCTGTATTTGTAACTTCACCTTCTTATAAGGATTGGAAATCAGTATCTTACTTTGAACTCGTTGAATCAACTAATGGGTTCTCGGTGGATAATCTGATTGGTTCAGGAAGTTTTGGTTCCGTATACAAAGGAGTACTTCCTAGTGATGGAACTATAGTTGCAGTTAAGGTATTAAACCTTCAACAACCAGGAGCTTTCAAGAGTTTCATACAGGAATGCAAAACTTTAAGTAGTATAAAGCACCGTAATCTTCTGAAAATTATAACTGCCTGTTCAAGCATTGACAATCATGGTAATGACTTCAAAAGTCTAGTTTTCGAGTACATGGTAAATGGAAGTCTAGACATGTGGCTGCATCCAAAAGATAATGAGGAATCTGAAAGTAAGAGGTTAAGCCTTATCCAAAGACTGAATATTGCGATTGATGTTGCTTCTGCATTGGACTATCTCCACCACCATTCCGAAGCTTCAATTGTTCATTGTGATATGAAGCCAAGCAACGTTCTTCTTGATGAAGATATGGTAGCTCATATTGGTGACTTCGGTTTAGCAAGGTTCTTGTTGGAAGCATCGGACAATCCCTCTCAAAGTCAAACCATGTCAGCTGGGTTAAGGGGTTCCATCGGCTACATTCCTCCAGGTACGTAGTTCTAATATTTTCCTTTTATCTTCCTAATATTTTAATAATTGGCAACTTTATTCTGCAAACTTCATAATTAAATCTGAATTTAAACATTTGAGTTTGACATCCAATGGCAGAGTATGGCATGGGAGGCCAAGTCTCGACACTGGGAGATGTGTATAGCTTTGGAGCATTGCTGCTAGAAATGTTCACAGGGAAAAGACCTACGGACGACATGTTTGGAGATCATCTAAGCATTCTCCAATTCACAGCAATGGCAATGCCTGACCATGTCATGGACATAGTTGACCCTTCATTATTGGTCATTGAAAGAGAAGATGAAGATACTACCAATGATGACAGCAACGACAATGACATACAAGAAAATAAATTACAAAACATCAAGATTGCAGCCTGGTCCAATGAAGAAGCTTGGAGAAATGTTTTGGTTTCAGTGATACAGATTGGACTGTCTTGCACTGCAATATCCCCAGGAGAGCGGATGCATATGAATGTAGTTGTCAACAAATTGAATGGAATACGAAACTCATATCTGAACTTAGAATGAGAAGAAACGGGAGCTGGCAACATACAAAATGAAATGGAATACGAAACTCATATCTAAACTCAATCTATAGGTTCATATTAAGCAAGAATTCATTTGAATAATAGATGTTATATGTATTATTGTGTGTGATAACTTGTAAGCTTGAAATAATATAGCAGAAAAAGTGAAGGATTTTTCGTTATCCCCCGCATTTGTTTTGGTTTACTGAAGGGAAACTGATACACTATACTTCTCTGTTTAATATTTTGTTGAAATAGTTTTGTCTCAATATTTCGAGTTGTGGACAGAAGGAGACAATTTTTTTTTTTTTTGCGCTCCATTGCTGAAATATCCCCTTTGGTTTTTGTTTATATCTTAATAGCTTGCTATGATATATCGCATATGCTGGTTTCTCAATCGGGTTGTTAACAGCAACTAAATTAAACTGAATTCAAAATTTTAGAAATTAAATTGGCCATATGTTTGTGCCCTTCATTGTCTTGACTAGAAAGGAACGAAGTTATCCGAAAAATGTAGAAGCCTTGAGTAGTGAATAATTCTTGGGATGAGTTGGAGACTAAGTCGCTCTCTTTAAGACGTTTCGCGGCTCTGTCCAAAGTATGCAAGCAGCTCACAAACACTACGTCGTCCTCAAGATAAAATAGCCTAGAACCTTCTTCTGATAAAGTTCTTCCTTGCACAGTGGAAAAACCTTCGAACTCACACCCTTCTATATATTGCTTTAGAACTCAATTTAAAAAAAAAAACACATACGCTATTGTTTTTTTCTTTTTTTCTTCGAAACAGGGAACCTATATATATGCAAGAATATAAAATATACGTTGCAAGTTTGAGATATTCAAGGGCTTGAAATCTTAAAGAATCAAAACTGAAGAAAACCAAAACGGTCAAATCAAAACCGTAAATATTCAAACAGAACAAAAAAATGTATAAGAACATAATCTGACCTAATCTTCTTCTCTGTTCAGAGAATGGATCCCATCAATTAATGTGAGAAAGCTATCTCACGTTTCAAAAGTAGTGGAGATTACTCCTCATCAAAAAGTAAGATTAAAGACAATTTAGGTTATATATATGTATATATATATATATACATATATATATATATATATTTAATGATTGTAATAGTGAGGTGGATTGCCTACCATCCCATTTCCATATATACTCTTCCCATGCCTTTCTGTTTATGTGGTTATGGTTGAGTCACGTTAACATTTTATATTCCTATTACTTTTTGTTTTATTATTTTTATAAAAAATTAATATAAAATATTGACGTGACTTAACCGTGACCACACATCACATGAGGGTATGGGAGAGTGTGTAAATGGAAGGGCAGACAATCCACCTCCTTGTAATAAACCCAAATATAAAAACCACAACGGACAAAACATAGCAATTAAAATATTTAAATAAAAACATATTTATTCCAACAATTCCCCACTTGTTTTTGTTTAAAAACCGTAAATCAAGCAAGTTATGCATAAGTAAAGGGGTTTCTCAACTTGAACCTGTACATAGTGTTAGTGATCCAGACTATATTAGAGTAACTTATACTTTTGAACTCTATCTCTGACAACACTACACACAAAACTTTATTAAGGTGAAGTTCAAAAAGCCAGCATATTACGGTCATGTGCTTGTATCCTAGTATAGTGAACGCTCTAGAAACTTGCCCAAGATTTCATAGGAAGCGGCCTCACTTCTACATTCACATAGGTAAGACTACTTGGGATATTCCTATAGCTAGATATCCCACTCAATATAGAGAATAGACCTTACTAAGAGAAAAAAAAATCTCAACCTAAAAAAGCTTCAGAATGTCATGCTTCTTAGGGATGGACATCGAATAATATTCCAAATTAAAATTAGCAAGATTTGTTATTACCCTTTGAACCTATTTCTTGGGATCTCCAGTCTATAGGTTGGGTTGCTATCACAAATGACTCAATTTTCTACGGGCTTTAGTCCCATCCCTTTCGAGGTTTTCCAAGCCTTTTCTCGTGCTAGTCCTTTCGTCAAATGATCAGTCAAGTTTTCTTCAGACCGTATATGATCCACTCTTACAGCTCCATTAGAGAGATAATCTCTTACAGTGTTGTGCTTACGACGTATTTGTCGCATTTTGCCGTTATAATAACGATTTTGCACTTTAGCTATTGCCGATGTACTATCACAATGGATCAAAACTATTGGAATCTGTTTCTCCCATAAAGAGGTATCTGACAGTAGGTTTCTCAACCATCTTGCTTCTTCACTTGCCGTAGCTAGCGCTATTAATTTTGACTCCATAGTAGACTATAGGTTTCTTAAACTTCCATGACACAGCCCCACCACCAATACTAAAAATATATCCATTAGTGGCTTTAGAGTCATCTAAAAGAGTATTCCAATCAACGTCACTGTAACCTTCTAGGACATCAGGAAACTTCTCATAGTGTAATCTGAAATTCATCATTCTTTTAAGTTATCTCATAAGCCTCTCTATAGCATGCCAATGCTCCAAACTAGGTCTGCTAGTAAACCTGTATAAAACTCCTACGACATAAGATATATCAGGCCTCGTGCAATCAGTAGCATAACGAAGGCTACCAATAATACTTGCATACTCAGATTGTTCAACACTGTCTCCAGTGTTCTTGAACAATTTTACATTAGGATCATAAGGAGTACAAGCTGGTTTACAATCAAAATAATTATACTTTCTTAAAAAAATTTCTATGTAGTGAGATTGATCTAAAGAAAACCCACGTTCATACCTAGTTATTTTCAAACCAAGTATTACACTAGCTTCACCCAAGTCTTTCATATCTAAATTAGCACATAACAAAGATTTGGCATTATTCACAACATAAATATTCGAACCAAAAATGAGCAAATCATCCACATATGGGCATATTATAGTGCATATATTATTTTCAGACTTATAATGGATGCATTTGTCACTTTCATTTATTTTAAAACCATTTGAAGTAACCAAACTATCAAATTTCTCATGCCATTGTTTAGGAGCCCGTTTCAATCCATAAAGTGACTTATCTAACTTGCAAACTTTATTTTCTTGTCCTGGAATAATAAAACCCTCTGGTTGATCCATATATATTTCTTCCTTTAATTCACCATTTAAGAAAGTTGTTTTAACATCCATTTGGTGCACAACAAGATCATGAATAGATGCTAAAGCAAACAATACACGAATAGAAGTTATTCTAGTCACAGGTGAATAAGTATCAAAGAAATCTATATTTTCTCTTTGTCTATAGCCTTTGGCAACAAGTCAGGCTTTAAATTTTTCAACTGAACCGTTAGGTTTTAATTTTCTTTTAAGAATCCATTTGCAACCTATTGTTTTGCAACCAGGTGGAAGATCCACCAAATGCCAAGTTTGATTTGACTCCAGGGAGTCCATTTCATCATTTATAACTTCTTGCCACAAGTCTGCATCTAAAGAAGTTAAAACTTCTTGAATTGTATTAGGATCTTCTTGTAAGTTATATACATGAAAATTAGGCCCAAAATCTTTAGCTATTCGAGCTCTTTTACTTTTCCTAGGTTCTAATGCAGATTGAATATGTTCTACAATAGTAGGTTCATAAATTTTAGAAGAATTAGAACCCCCACTATTTCGAAGACTAAAAGAAAATTTATTGTCATAAAAATCAGCATCAAGTGACTCAATTATGACATGGTTTTTCAAATCATAAAATCTTTATGCTTTGCTATTACATGCATAACCAATAAAAACATATTCATATGCTCTACTAGCCAATTTCGATCTTTTTGGATCAGGTTTTCAAATCGCCTTCTAAGAATCGTCGAAGATCCTTTTCTTATCATGAGCTCATGTAATGATTCCGTCCATTCTACAGTTGGGTAGGCCGTACATGCAGCGGCGGATCCATGATAAATTATTTAGAGGGTCATATGTAAAAGTTGACAAATATTTATTCGACATATAATGACCTTAAAAATTAAACCATAGTTTCATCATTCATAATTTATAGAACAAATAACAATATAAACTACAATTGTCAACGACCCTTTTTCACATTTTGAAAACGCTGCATTATGGCTTCATTATTAATGAAAGAAAAATAGTGCTCTTAATGTAAACCACCATGCTATCACTCTACCATTGATCTCCCATTCGATTATGCAATGGACTTTTCACAATGTTCATAGCGGAAAATACTCTCTCCACTGAAGCAGTAGCAAACAATAGAACCAAAGCCAACGTATATTAGCAAAATACATGTGATTATATACTCTATTTCTACAGTCTGCAATTCAGAATTAGGAAACAAACATTGCGTTGCAACGCTTTAATCCAAATGTAAAAAACAAAATCAGGAAATGGACATTGCTTTGTACTGTTTGAATCCAAATATAAAAATCAGGAATCTCATGAGGTGTGAAGCATAGGAGGCTTGAGAGTGACGGAAAACACAAAACCAGAAAACAGACATTACAACACACTGTCTGAATTTAAAGGTAAAAAATAAAATCAGAAAACAAACACTGCATTCAAGTGTTTGAGTCCAAATATAAAAACTAGGAGTTGCATAAGGCATGAAACATAGGATGTGTGTGAGTGATGGAAAAAACCGAATCAGGAAACAGACACTCCATCGCAGTGTCTGAATCCAAGTGTAAAAAAAGAATCAGGAAACAACATCTTAATCCAAATGTAAAATAAGAATTTATAATTAACAATTTTTTTTAACAAACGATATTATCTACACTAACGGAAAAGAGGTGAGCTTAGTCTCACAATGAGCTAGCAATAATGTGGTCCAACTCCATTTGGAGAGAATCGAACCTAAAGCCTCTCACTTACAAGTGAAGATGAATACCACTAGACCATAGTATTAAGTGCATTTATAATTAACACTTGTTGATATATTGTTAATATTCTAACTTTTTACTTTACAAAATCACCCAAACAATATAGATGGTCAAATGGTTTGGATTGAAATACAAGGGTTATATGAAAAGGAAAACAAATGAAAATGATTTCAAATTTTTGAGTTTTAACCAAAAGTCATCTTAAACTCTATTTAATGATAAGGACAAGATAATGAAAAAAAAATGAAAAAACAAAAAAAAACAAAATTTAAATAAAGTGGGGGCAATACTTCGTCATAGCCTTGTTGTTTTTCATTTCCTTCTCCTCCAACAACTACTCTTCC